GCCAGCCTCTGAAAGGTCGAGCATGTTTCCTTTAATAGGAAATGAAAACATCATCCCCGGATTTACAAGAATGTTTCCTCATATCTCTGAAGCTCCTGTGAAGTGAAATCATTTAGCAAACATTTAAATTGCTTCTCCTGCTTCTGTGAAATTCCACTTTTTTCTGGGGATTTTTATTTATTTATTTTTTTGCATTTTTTTTTGCATGTTGCTGCAAACCTTCATAAATCACAGAGAATTTATTTGAAGAATCAAGTGAAGAATTTTTCATTGTTCTGCTTCTCTTTGCAAGATTAATGGCTTACATGAACTTAATCTCAGTAAAATCTAAATTAAAATCCGCCAGCATGTTTCACTATTCAGCACATATTTTACTGCTAAGCCTCTTGAGCTGGAAAAAAAAATTATATAGTTTATAAATCAACAGTTTTTTACTAAATTATCTTCCTTTAATCATCCCAAACAAGTATATTTAGAAATATTTGCTAACGCAACAAGAGAGGACATGGAAAATTATCAATGAATTATTGAATCTAAAGTTAATTTATCTTGTAGATCTTATTGATAAGTGACAATTTTCTGAGTTTTCTATTTTTAAACGTTTAGAATATTTTGTCAGCTGTATTAAATAGGGACTAAATGTTGGTTTTCTCACAGAATTAGACTCATTTATAAAATATAATACAGGATTCTGGCAGGTTGCTCAATTGAAAAATAAAGATTTTTAATGCATTAACTCACAATCTCTCTCAAAAACAACCAGGATTATTGCCATCGAGTTTGGAATCTGTTTCCTAGAAATTGAGACAAATATTTTAATCCCAGATTTCTGTCAAACTGTTTGAATGGCAACAATCTGCAGTTGATATTCAGGTGTCAACAATGAATTCAAGGTTTTATTCTCTGCATTTCTTTGCAGGTTTACCATGGAAACTGATAGAAAAAGGCATCGCAGTAGAACAGACATAGCCTTGGTTTGGCTTTTTGTTTTCACAAATCATCATCTATGCATGATTTCTGTAAATAGAAAGTTTGAGCTTCAGGTTGTTTTCAGTATAAGACCCTCTTATCAAGATCAACATTATTAGCCAAGATTTAGAGCACAAATTGGATTTTTCTACACGTTCAGCAGCGTACATACATTAAGTTTAAATAACTAAGTTTTAGGAGAATTAAAATAAAACATGGAGGGAAAATCAGTTCTGATAATCAGCAGGATGGATGAGCCAAACCACACAGTAACTGAGTTTCCTTGACAAATATGTGCCAATCTTTTTCTATATTCTAGCGTAAAAAAACACAATTGTGCAATTGTAGAGTGTCCATTAAATAAGAAAAATAAATTAAAACCAGATGAGAATAAGGTTGTTCACATGATAAGTTATTGAAAATCATGGCAGCGACGAATGTAAACAGTTATATGAGATATATTTGACTTCCTGCTGTCTTCTTCTGCGTTTCCAGCAGTAGTAACATTTTGCTGTTGATCATGTGACTCATGTGATGCAAAGAAAAAAAAAGTTTTTGTCGCAATTTAGCAAAATGCAAATATTTTGAGACGGCTAAAGAGAGTAAAAACGTTTTATCAAAAAATATGAGATTATCAGTAGCTGTGGTCTAAAGTCTTGTCTTCTTCTTTGCTTTTTGTACATTCAAAATAATTATGATAAAAACTAAAAGCCAAACACTCAAGTGTTTCAAAAGGCGCATACATGAGGAACTGAGAAACTACAGAAAAGGAAACACAACCACCAGTTTACATCCCAACATGATGGAGAGGAATCGGGACGCAGAAACCAGCAGATGTTTTCAGTTTTATTCTCTCTCTGGGAAAACAGCCTGAGCAGCTTTAGCAGCTGTTTTACTTTGATACATTTATTCTCTTCTCCAGTCTTTGATGATCTGAGTTGTTTCTGAGCCGCAGCACGAGTGTTTTGCAGAGTGGAGGGAGCGCGGTCTGAACCAGCAGCTGCTGCAGCACCAGCAGCTGCTGCAGCACCGACCAGTCAGAAAAATCACGTCTCAAATGGATCTTCAGTTAGAAATCATGAACTATAAGATCTGCTGGCTGGAAACACCCAACCTAAACGTCAGCGTTAAGGTTTATCTGTAGGTCCAGCAGCACACAGTCACACAGAAATAGGAGTTGCAGCGAATGCAGGGGCTTGTTTTGTCTTCATGGCGATACCTTCACCTTAACAGGAAGACATGACTGATTACGGCAGCGACGTATTGTATTCAGGCATCTGGACTCAAAATTAGAAAGAGAATTTAATTTACTTTGAATGTATTAAGGTTGTTGTGAGGTCTGAGTGTTTTAGAAACTTGCTATCAAACCTTCTGTTCCCACTTCTCCTCTTACTTCTGGTGTTCCTCAGGACTTTGTCCTCGGGCAACTTGGCTTCATCTTTTGTCATTTCAACCTTCAGTTCCTCTGCTATGCAAATTACATCCTGCTTTCAATAACTCTGCAAAAAAGACTCATCAAAGAAGAACTTAAACACAATGATGTTTTTTTTTATTTATATTTTTGAACGTCACCTAGACAACCATCATCTCCAGCTATTTGCAAATAAATTTGGTTAAGAGTAAACAAGCATTATGCAAATAGAGGTTATGAGATCTTATGTGTTACAAGTTTAATTTGAAAAGAACTGGAAGAAAAACAATTTTTCTTTTTACTTTTTGAAATGTAATCAACCATTTGGATCTTAAATCAATATTTTGCTATTTGCTTCTGTATTTTTGTGACCAAACAATCAGGTTCCTATTTATTTGCTTCAAGATTAACAAAAACTTTCAGGTGTTTGAAGCAGGTTTGATAAAATCACAGCATTTTTCTGAACTCACAGAGAAGAAAACCATCTGGTTTATTATTTGTTCCCTTGTGTAAAACGAGTAACACAGAAACAGGCACATTTTTGAGGAGCTGAATAGGGAACATCTGGTGAATCACAGAAATGTGATTGAGGCAGAAAATAAACGAAATGCCCAGAAGATGGAAAACAAGCTGACATGTCATCAGTGTGCGTCACAGTTTAAAACAAGTTTAAAAAAAATAAAAATACAAACTTGGAGACGGACGGTTGTCGTTAGGCAAGCAGTCAGTGTATTTTATGTCAAATTATTATTCAGAATTAAGAATATTGCATTGATGAAGTAATAAAGTAATAATAATGAAAATGTATCTCAAAATGTTTATTTTATTAATATGACTATAAAATGTAGCTTCATATTAAGAAATTTTAATTTACAACTGACTATCAATTTGAGGTAATTTAAATTTTTAATTAAAAAAAAGCTTTTTCAAGCTTTACAATTCATTTGGTAGATTTTATTATTAAATCCTGTTGCCATGACTTCCTCCAGAAACTTTTCTCTGCAGCTTTTTAAGGTGGTTTAATTTAAGGCAGCTGTGACCTGGAAGGTTGTTAGAAAAAGCTTGAACGCCTCGTCGTTTCAGGAGACTTGTTGCTTTTTCACTGCAGTCTGACAGGTTTCTGATTTCTCCTACAATCTGCAATAATCTCTGAATAGCAGATCTTCAGCAAACAGCAGTAAACAACATGAGAGCTGATGGAGCTTTGAGCGAGCAACAATGGCAGTCAGGAGAGCAGAGCTGCAGGAAAATAAAGCAACAAAATGATCGATATTTCATAGTTTTTAGTTTATTCTTCTAAAGGAGCTCAGTAAAAGGAGAAACCTTTCAGGTGACAAGACTCAGTTTTTACTGCTGTTGTCCAGACAAAATGGCTGCCTGGAGAAATTATAGTCGTTGGGATTTTCAGCATATAGAATAAAATGAAGAAAAGGAATTTCTTGACTCTTCCTCCAACAAAGCATGTGTGGGTCAGGCAGTAATGTGGGACAAGAAGACATGGATAGCTAATTGTTTCCACCAAAATGAATCTCTGATTCTCAAAAGCTTCATTTGTGTTCAAAGACTAACAACTGGAAGAGGAAGTGTTTCTAATTAGCTCTTCATACCTGAATAAGGTAGTTTTTATGATGCTATAAATAAAGAAAAATGCTATTTTGATGTTACGCTGTCCCTTGCAATTGAACTAGTTGCTAAGCACTTAGCATTAGCTGCTAATAATCTAGCAGCAGTTGAAATAAAAATCTGAACCTGTCGTTGTACAGCTGTATTTACTTTCTTTTTGTTGCTTTAAAATCTATTCGATATATAAATAAAATAATTCCACAGACGGGATTTTTTGGGTGGTTATGATTTATGCTGTAAATCATAAACTTTGTGGAGACTCTTCGCTGCAAAAACAGAAAGTCTTACCAGGTAATTTTTGATCTAGTTTCTAGTACAAATATCGTAGTACACTTGAAATAAGACAAAACTAACTTACATATAGTTTTTCAGCAAGATGTAGGCAGTTGTTTTAAATCAAATATTCCTTAATATCGTTAATATTCCATTGGCAGATTATTATATATATTTTACTACTGAAAAGGTATCTGTAAGTCAGTTTTATCTTATTTAAAGTGTTCAATTTGCATTGATACAGTAAAGCACGTTAGTATCTATTTATTCATTAATAATTCAGTTGTATTCAGAGAACATAGCCCAAGTTTATTCCTCCTATTAGAACCGTGTATATAATTAATATAATAAGTGATATAGTAAGTAAAATCAGTGTTGGTTTATTATTTATTCATTCATAAACAAAATTACATTAAATAACAGTTTTACTTTGTTTAGTCCTGAAAGGTTTCAGTGACAAAACCTTGAGTAATGCGTCAGCCTAAACTTTCCTCCTCCTACACCTCCCTCTTTATCGGTGAGGGTGGGATGGGCTGCGGGTTTTTGTGTGTGTGCGTGTGTGTGTGTGTGTGTGGGTGTGTGTGTGTGTGTGTGTGTGTGTGTGTGTGTGTGTGTGTGTGTGTGTGTGTGTGTGTGTGTGTGTGTGTGTGTGTGTGGTACATAAGCAGAGGGAGAGAAAGTGAGACCAGGATAAAACCACAGAGGCTGAGAAGTGATGGTCGGTGGCACAGCGAGCCGCTGCGCTCTGCCGCTCTGGATCCGGCTGATTATTTTTCACCGTTTCTCCTCCACTTTCCTTTCTCATGTCGCTTCACTGAAACCAGAGCAACAGGATTGTTTTTGGTGCCTCAGGAGGAGCTGAAAGATGACAATGGGGGAAAGAAAGAGCTGAGACTTCAGGACTTGCTGTAACAAAGAGAAGAAGTCAAGATGAACTCCACGGCTCTGCAAGGCTTGATCCCAGGCTACCTGAACCGGAGCCTCTACCCGGGAACGCAGCCAGAGAAAGATGTTTCTGGAGACGATAAGGATTCCTCTGCTGGCTGCTACGAGCAGCTGCTGATTTCCACCGAGGTCTTCCTCACTTTGGGCATCATCAGCCTGCTGGAGAACATCCTGGTGGTCGCCGCCATCATCAAGAACAAGAACCTCCATTCCCCGATGTACTTCTTCATCTGTAGCCTGGCGGTCGCCGACATGCTGGTCAGCGTCTCCAACGCATCGGAGACCATCGTCATAGCGCTGATCAACGGCGGCAGCCTCACCATCCCCATCACCTTCATCAAAAGCATGGACAACGTGTTTGACTCCATGATCTGCAGCTCTCTGCTCGCCTCCATCTGCAGCTTGCTCGCCATCGCCATCGACCGCTACATCACCATCTTCTACGCCCTGCGGTACCACAACATCGTCACCATCCGGCGGGCGTTGCTGGTCATCGGCGGCATCTGGACGTGCTGCATCGTCTCTGGCATCCTGTTCATCATCTACTCGGAGAGCACCACGGTGCTCATCTGCCTCATCACCATGTTCTTCACCATGCTGGTCCTCATGGCGTCGCTCTACGTTCACATGTTCCTGCTGGCGCGCCTGCACATGAAGCGCATCGCCGCCCTGCCGGGCAACGCGCCCATCCAGCAGCGCGCCAACATGAAGGGCGCCATCACCCTCACCATCCTGCTGGGGGTGTTTGTGGTGTGCTGGGCGCCCTTCTTTCTGCACCTCATCCTGATGATCACCTGCCCCAGGAACCCCTACTGCACCTGCTTCATGTCGCACTTCAACATGTACCTCATCCTCATCATGTGCAACTCCGTCATCGACCCCATCATCTACGCCTTCCGCAGCCAGGAGATGAGGAAGACCTTTAAGGAGATCTTCTGCTGCTCACAGGCTCTCTGGTGTATTAGCTTTCTGTGAGACGCTCCAGGTATTTCATCTGTAATTAGTGCCAAGCTCCAGGTCTGCAGGACAAGAGGGGTCGATGAGACGGTTGGCGAACACAGAGGGTTTGTCTGCAGTCAACAATGTTGTGAATCTAAAAGGATGAAGAGCCTGAAGTGTCGGTTTTGCAGCTGAAAATGCTTCGGCATGTGAAACATTTAAAGCACATTAAACAGCTAAGAATGAGATAAGAGACTAACTTTGTTACAGCTGAGATTACGTTGTGTCTCCATTGGTTTCTTGAACACGGAAGCATTGGGCTTGGACTTTATAGCATCACCATATAAAGTGATAATAACATTACTATTAACTGTAATCATAACATCGTGGGTCAAAAAGGCAAAACATTGACTTATGATGTAATCAAGGATAAAAACAATGCCTTAAAAGGTAATCATACTATTGTTTACTGAAGCAACCGTGACGTTGCCATAAAAGAAGTTGCTTCGTGAGATTATGATGTAAATATCTGTCAAAGACCTTATTAGGCAATGATAACATTACTGCACATGTCAATCATGAGGCTAAAGAAAGAAGATTGTAATTCTGTTTACCAAAGGAGAGTCTGTGTGATGAAGTCTTGATGTTTTTGAATGTATTTAAACTTGACAGCTAAACTAACATGAAAGCTAATTCTAAAGCGCTAAAGCTAAAAACAATATAATACTGCAGAATTACACGATGCTATATTTAGCTTTTCATCACCGAGTCGACCAATCACGGATTGTCACATGGCACATTGTGAGCCAATAGCGTCCCTTCACAGTCGACCAATCACGGCCTGTCCTGTACTTGCTTTCATTTTTTTCATTTTTGCTCAGCTTTATTAAAAGTTTACAAACAGCCAAGTAGATTAGTGCTTTAAAACTTAATTCAGTTAAAGGAAGCTAGGTGTGCTAAATGTTTGCAAGTTTAGCAAAGGCGCTAAACGCAACGTTAGCTTTGCTATTTATAGTAGAGCTAATGTTTCGTGCTAATTATGATGTGCTAATTAGCACTTTAGCAAATCAGCAGAAGTGAACTCAACGCTTTGATTTAAGCTTTTATTTCACAGCACAAATTTCAAGAACAATATTTGTCTCTTTCCAGCACAAATCAGCTAAACTTTATTACAAAACTGTTTTCTTTTATAGCAGATTTTCAGTGCCAAATTAGAATTGTTTAATTCAAATCCTCAAGCAAAAAAGTAAGTTAAAAGTTGTCACAGAAAATTTAACACTGCACAATATTGAGCTACAAAAATATGAAATATTAGACAGCACCACTCACAGGTTCAAACAGGGTAAAATAATCGGCTTGTTTTTCATCTACGCTCTTGTAAGTTTGAGTTATTCACACTGGCACTTTAAGCTTGTGCTTATAAATAAGCCTATTTTTCAATGTGTTTGTGTGAAAGGGCAGATTATAATTAATGTAGGTTTTCTCTGTGTGTGTGACCTGCTTTTTTAGATCTTTGCCTTAATGGTGTTGCACTGTGATATGAAAAGAAACCGTATTCTCTATGAAGGTGTCTCAGAAAAAAAAAACATGTACAGGTTTGATGTTTTAAGTGTTGCCTTTTTAATGTGTTCCTCTGTAAACTTGAATTGCATCACAAAACGCACAAGAGAACAGATGTAAACAGGTGACTCATGCAACTGAAAAACATGTTTTGTATTTTCTTTTTCCCATTAGTGCGTACTGTGAATCACTGCAGCTGTGACTTGAATAAATCATAATGCAACCTGAGCCGCAGATCCGGATGTAACTTTACTCTGATTTTGCGCAAAACTGAGATAAAAATCAACGTTTCCTTCAGTTTGGGAAAAAATCCAACCTTCAGATCGCAAAACATTGATTTATAGCTTCCAGAAATCCCTCATTTCTTCTTCAGGAGGATCTTATGTCTTACAACTATTCAATCTGATAATTTGGCTCTGAGTAAAGACAACTTGTTTTTCTTTACGGCCTTGTATGGCAACTGAAAAACCTTTAGTAATCCTTTTGAAGCAGTAGCAGAAGCAAGAAATTTAATTCTTCCCATTGTGAAGAGAATTTCTAATTAGTTTTGGTTGATAGGAAATGAAAAATGCAACATTTTTCTTAGTAGATCAAGAAAAAAAGATAGCAAAAATCACCCAGAATTGGAAAAGGTTAATAGAATAAAGTCGGACTTTGTTGTATTTCTTTTTCAGCAATAACATAGATGCTAACTAGCTAGCTAGGGTATTTTTGCCGCTAGTTAGCAGTACATAATATAGATGTCTGCGTACGAATCAAACAGCGAGTATGTGAGGTTGATTGGCAGCACTAAGACCCGCCTCCTGGCTCTGATTGGTTGTTTCTGTTAAGAATTGGGAGAAAGCAGCTTTTCTGTTTCACACTGCTTTGTGTTGTTCTGCCATCATCAGCACATTTAACAGCGATCACACAAGACTGATTAACAGCGCTAAGACCCGCCTCCTGGCTCTGATTGGTTCGTTCTGGTGCATTTCTTCAGACGACATTAATATCTCAGGGAAGAGGTGGAGGGCATCAATCTTTTCACAGATTATCTGTCTTATAAGAACACAGTAACAGTTTTAACAACTATGTTAAAAACATTATTGTGATTGTTTTGACCACAAGTTTATTTTGTGTGAGATTCATCTGAATAATTTATTTTGACGTATTTCACATTTATCAAAAAAAAAATTATATCCTGTAAATTCCTCCTTCATTTTGATTTTTGGAGCAGGAGAGATTTTATCCATATTAATATATCAGAAAGCTTTTTCTCTTTTCTTTGTTAGCTAAGCTGTTTGCATTTCAGGGTTTCTGCTGGGGCACCCAGACCAAAACACATCCATCAGGACGACTCCTGGAACATTAGTGGAAAGAAAACACAAAACTTTGCCCATTTAGACTGAAAAAATGTCTTTGGAGGGCAGAAGAATAAAAGCACCTCAAGGGCGATAAACAAAACCCAAAGCCTCCACTGCAAAAGGTTTAAAGGTGAGGATGAAGATTTGAATGCTTGTTCTTATCAGGTAAAAGAAAAACATCTTTATTCTTTTTATCAATTACTAAATTTTACTCTTTCACGAACAGACAAAGGCTGACAAAGTTAAAGCACGACAAATAAAAACTTCTTCAGAGCACAAAACTGAAAACTTTGACTAAAATTTGGTAAAATTATGACTTATTGGAACCAATAGATGAAAATTTGTTTAAAGTTGAGTTCATTCTTTGCTATATTTGGACGGCGATGTTCACTGTGTTGAGATGTTCAAGTAATATGCAGAATTTACAAAAGTACCTTTAAAATTTATTTGATAAATCTCAGACTAAATTTCCACACCTCCCTTTTAATTCCCACTAAAATTAGATTAAATAAAAAATAGACAAAGTCAAAATATTCGTCATGAAACCCTAACCCTAAAAAATCCTACAGGAGTTATGTAATTGTATTTTTTTTTTCAGTGTTCACAAAAGAAAATAAATAAATCATAAAATAATATGCGATAAAATAATTATAAACATTTTGTAAGCGATAATAAAACATTTCCAAGTAATTTCTTTTAGATAGGTGTGCAGATTTATTTTCTGTTAATCTGTTTTCACCGAGATCAGACATTATTTGGGTCAGTAAACAGTGAAATGCCGTAAATTAAGGGTGTTCAAACTAGGGGTGGAGGGCCATTTGTGGCCCCTGGACTGATTCTGTTTGGCCCCGTCTGCGACCACAATTCCAGAATAAATGTTAAAAGTTTAGGACAAAACTATAAAACTAACTACTTTTAAATTAAAATCTTCTTACAAATTCAGAATTTCACAATTAGCTAAAAATGAAACTTTTGTTGACATTAATATATTTTCTTGAGGAACTGATCATCTATTCTGAGCAAAAAACAAACCAGTTTATTTTGCACTTTTGTTCTGGAAACAATAAAATAAAACAGAATCAGTTAAATATAGTATAAAACATTTATGTGTTGCTATAAAATAATTCTGCGTTTTGATACAAAAGTATATAATAATGAGTGACAATTAAAAAAGTCAACTTCTCACTTCTTTTTGGAGCGGTACAGTAGCTAAAATGACTGATTCTTATGTGTAAAATGTTGCTTTTTTGTGTGTGTTTTTATTGATTTGTCAAAAAAATAATAAAAATTGAAAAATAACTGTTATGAGAAACATTCTAGCTGTTGAGCAAATGATTAAACTGATGTGAGAAACACAGCAAACCTTCTAAAAACAGTCAGATTCTCTCAGTTCACCATATGAGCTGCTTCATCTCTGGCTCTTCAGGGTGTCACTCATCAAACAGCATCTTTAAGCCTGGAGTCCCGCTGAATCCTGACGCGCCAAACCAGCGTCGTCAGGCTCACCGCCTCACCGCCGCGCCATGAACCAGCACATCACACCACCAAAGTTATTCTTTACGCTTGATTTAAGGCTGAAAAATGTATTATTTTTAGGATATTTCATCGTTTTGTGCTCTGCTGCTTCCGGCTCTTATCAGACGGAGCTTCTGGGGATTTGTACTCGGAGCTGCTTGCATTAAATTAGGCCGTGTTGACTCAGCGCCTGGCATTCGCAGCCACGGCAAATAATGCTGGAATTTATTTCCAAGTCAGGGCCTCAGTTAAGGCCAATTAGTGCTTTCATTTGGATTGCTGAAAGAAAGCACAAGCAGTGTCCTTTGTTAGAAAGTGATAATTCCCTGAGACTGCAACAGAAAATGCTTCTGTGTAATTTTTAAAGGCGTAAATCTTAATCATTTTTGGTTAAATTAGATTAAATCTTTGTATTACATAAGTGAGTCTTGGGGTTCATTCACACCAGTCCTGTTTATTTCACTTTAATCAAACTGGGGTGTCCAAAGTGTGGCCTGTGGGCCGTTTGTGGCCCTTGGAACATTTCTGTGTGGCCCCAGACTGGCACAAATTCGGCTCTCCAGTGGAAACGTTTGTAATTTTTAAACTCTTCTTTACTAGTAAGAAGAGTTTCTTTCATTTTAAATTCCAAGTAAATAGCAATAAGCATTGAGCAACTTTTTACTTGAAATAAAAACGACTAGAGGGCTTCGTTTTTGTTTACATTTTGTGAAGAAATGTTTGTGCTTATTCAGAGGTTTTTGTGTCATTTCCTTCAGTTGTTCTTGGTGCAGCGCCCCCACAGGCGAGGAGGGGAACAGGTTTTTCAAAGAGTTTGGTTCATTTGACTCAGTGCAGCATCTCTTAAAATGCTGTTACATTTTCTCTGAAAATGTAACAGCAGCTGATAATGAAACAAATTTTCATAGCAACTTTCTACAACTAGAATGAATCGAGGCTAAATTTTGGAATCGTGGGTAAAATCTGAGTCTTAAAAGATTTAATTTTCCACATATTCTTGCCTATTTCTTCACTCAGAAATGTGGCTGCGTGGTGAAAGTCTGTTGGATGTGATATAAACCCGGTTGGAGCAGAACCAGAGTTCAAAGCACCTCTATCTATCAGGGAGGCGACAGCTGCTGTGTGGAGTGAAAATGCTCAGTCTGCAGGTGGTTGATCGCTGTTATATCACAAGTGGCTGAAGCGTTCATTTTCAATCCTTTCAGTTTTATCTGCTTGTTGTAGGAAAAATCCAGACACAAATCAAGGTAGCAGTAACATGATAAGGCTAATTTCAGCGCCAACAAGAGACATTCAAGCAGTGATGGAGTCATTAGCAGGTAACAGAAACATTAGTCAGCGCCTAATGATAACAAAAATGAAGATGATTGAAGTGGGGAGAATTGTGATTTGAAAGAGATGAAAGCTGCAAACATTTGTTGGATGAAATGATTTAAAGTTTTACAAGTGGCGTCTCAAACCTCATGGTCTTGTGGATTCGGTTCGATTTGGGACCAAAATTGTAACATTTGCTACATTTTCAGCCGCTGCGGTTCTTTTTCTCACTGCACTGAGTCAAATGAATCAAACCCTTTCGCAGCGTAAGTCCTCTCCTCACCTGTGGGGGCGCTGCACCAAAAAAAACCCTGACTAATACAACACAAAAACTTCCTTCTTCACAAAATATAAACACAAATGAAGTAGTATCAGTTTTTAGCAGTTGTAGCATTCCTCTTTTATTTCTCCCATTAGCGCTAAGCTAGCAGGTTTGTTTTACTTCTATTTACCCAGAATGCCCTGCGTGGATTTGGCAGATTATTTCACTTATTACATGGAGGAAAAAATTGTAATAAGTTAAATAATCTGCCAATGGATTTAGTATTTTATCATCAATGTTAAATAGTTATTGACTTTAAAAAATGTCCCATATTGTGCTGAAAAGTTACTTTTATGTCAGTTTTGTCTTGTTTAAAATGTACTAAGATATTTGCACAAGAAACACTTGAATATGTATTGTTGCTGTGTTTGTGTTTTTGTCTCAACTTGGATCTTAGATCAATATAATAATAGATGTTAAAAATAATCTCCATTCTGCCACATTACAAATTAATTCCGTTCCCATTACCAGCCTCAACAATGTAGATGAATCAAATTAAATAAAATTACATGATATCCTTGTTATGAATTAATTGGACAAAGTCTTAATGGAAAAGTTGAACCTTTCTGGCTGTTGTGGGTCAAGCGGCTGATAGCGGGCCGAACGGAGGCTTGATGTCGTTCATCAGAAGGTTTAATGAGTCTGTCTCTTCTGATTCACAGAACATCTCATGAGATTTCCAGACATGAGCCGGGCGGTTA